CATTTCTTCTCAAGCTCAAGTTCCATCCGAACCCAGAAGGTGAATTAGAAGGTACAAGGAAAGAGGAAACTGGTTCATTTTTAAGGGTAGAGATAGCAAAGAGGCCTGGAAATTGATCTTTCAAAGAGGAGTCCCCAACCCATACATGTTCCCAAAATTTAATGAGATTACCTGAGTGCAAATCATACCTGACCCATGGAGAGAACAAGGGAAAAATGGCTTGAACAGCTTTCCAAGGAGAAGCTCTTGTAGTCCTTGCTAGGATCCCAAAGTCCCATCCATTGTCTGCTAGCCCATGTATACTTCCCACTATCTTAACCCACAATCTTTCTTTCTCCAATGAAAATCTCCATAGCCATTTCCCTAGTAGTGCTAAGTTCCTAATCCTTATATTCCCAATTCCCAAACCCCCATCCTTCTTACACCTACATACCACCTCCCACCTGACCCTATGATCCTTCTTCTCCTCCCCCGGCTCCCAAAGAAAGTCTCTCATTAGTTTTTCCAGCCTACTAGCCACCTTAGCCAGAATCTTAAAGACTGATAAAAAATAGACATGAAGGTTAGCAAGAGTAGACCTAATTAAAGTGATTCTCCCTCCAAGAGATAAATAATTTTTCTTTCAGTTGGCAAGTCTTTTTTCAAACCTCTCCACAATAGGGGCCCAAAATTCACCCWTCTCTCCCAATGGTAAACCAAGGTAGTTTAAGGGCCAATTAGATTCTACACACCCCAAGATGTCTGCACACTCACAAACCTCCCCCTCCCCCATATTGACTCCAACTATACAACTTTTCTCAAAGTTCACTCTAAGGTTTGACATTTGCTCAAAAAGTTGTATAGTGAGCTTCAGGTTTCTAATCCTATTGATATCCCCTCCTTCACAAAACAGAATTGTGTCATCTGCAAATTGTAGGTGTGTGAGTGGTATGTTTTCTCTTCCAACTCTCCATCCTCTTATTAAATTCCTAGAATCTGCTTTGGATATTAATCTCCCCAACACTTCTGCAACCAACGTAAACAAAAATGGGGAAAGGGGGACAGTCCCCTTGTCTAATCCCTCTCAAAGCTGGGAAATAATCCACCACTGTCCCATTCACCAAATTGGAATAATGACAATCCCTAATGCAACCCATCACCCATTTGCACCAAATGTCTCCAAACCCAAAGTTAATCATCACCTCCAATAGGAAAGACCAATCTACCAAGTCATAAGCCTTTTCCAGATCTAATTTACTGACCACTCCTCTTCTCCTAGATCTCTTGAAATCCTCTAGACCCTCATTTGCTACAAGAATCTGATCTGTTATCTACCTCCCCTTTACAAAGGCTCCTTGGTTATTTGCTATGATTGTTGGGAGCACCTTCCTAATTCTAAAGGACAACACCTTAGCGATGACCTTATAGAGGCTATTGACTAGACTGGTCGGCCTGTAATCCTTCGGATGACTTGCATCACTTTTCTTGGGTACCAGAGCAATGAAAGTGGAATTTAGCCCAGGGTTAATTACTCCTCTGGTATGGAATTCATCAAACACCGACATTAGGTCATCTTTTAGTATCACCCAACAATCCTGATAAAAAGCCATCGTAAAACCATCTAGGCCTGGTGCCTTTGATCTATCCATTGAAAAAACCGCCTCTTTTACTTCTTCCAACTCAAATTTCTTTTCCAACCACACCCTATCCTCTCTCTTCAGAGTTGGCCATTCCAAACCTTCCAACCACACCCTATTATTTAGAGGCCTTCTAAATATATGCCTAAAATGATCTGCAAATGCTCTTGCAATTTCTCTTTGACTTGTGACTTTTACCCCTTCAATCTCCAAACTGGAAATAAAGTTTCTTCTCCTTCTGCCACTTGCCAAAACATGAAAGAACCTAGTATTCTTGTCCCCCTCTTTCAGCCATTTGCATCTCAGCTTCTGCCTCCAACTTATTTCCTCCTGAAATATATAATCCTCTAATTGTTTATGCAATTTCTATCCTTGTTCCCTATCCTCTCCTGTTAGGCTGCCTCTCCCTTCTTTGCTACCCATATCTTCAATTTGTGTGATCACACTCTGCTTCCTTTCCTCCAGTCTCCCAAACTCTAATAGATTCCATTCCTTTATCCTTGCTTTTAGATATTAAAGTTTTTTGTGAAACCGCATCCCATTCCACTCCACTACTAGATTGCTCTCTGACCACCAATCTTCTACTTAATGAAACCCGGGTGTTTTGACCACATGTTTTCAAATCTAAATGGAGTGGGACCCGCATTTCTCACCTCCTCCTTACAAAGTACGATAGGCCAATGATCAGAGGTCACCCTCGGGAGTGCTCTAGAGTTCAAATTCCCCCAAGTCCATCATTCATCCATGCATACTCATTAACTTCAAAAGTCGTACCAAGTCCATCGTTTTCTTTATTTTTTTCACCAAAACCCAAAATTTCTTATTCAGTTTTTTATCAATAACCATGAATTTTATCAACATTCAAGAAGTAGAAAAATGTACATGTATACAGCTTTCCCTTGAGAGATACTTGTCATCCTCTCCCCTTTCATTTTATACAATTTACAAATCTGCCCAAAACATGTATCAGCCATGCAATTGGCCCCTATATGCACCCATTGTATTTTCGTTTCCATATCCCTAGTCATCCATCTAAACTTCTTTCTTAATTTCATTTATATATACCCAAAAGGCTGCTTCTCCTCCTTCCAACCACCCAACTAACAATCTGGAATCACTTTCAATGATCAATTTGTCCAAATTCAACCATCTTGCCATTTGCACAACTTCCATTACCACCATAAACTCTGCCCTCAAAGAATCTCCTATACCAATTGGCCCAGAAAACATGGCTGCAATAACACCATGAACTCTGCCCTCAAAGTTTAGTTTCAAAAATCCTTTCCCTAGGGATATCCAACTTCTACATAAACCCACCACTACTCTCCATTTTCTTATTGTATCATCTGTACAAAAAGAGAATTTCCATGTGTTCCACTGAAAGGGCCACCCTATTAGATACAATTTCAACAATTGCTTCCTTGTTTTTCTTCTCCTTGAAAAATTCTTGCATTTTTCTCTTCCCAAATTGTTCAAATAAAGTGGCCCTAGTGCATCTCCACACTATCTTTCCTCTTTCCTTTGGCCCAATAAAGGTAATGAGATAGAATAAGCTTGGCATACTGGATGGAGAAGCACACCTGCAACCAAACAAAGAAAGAAACCAATCCCAAATTCAAGCAATAAATGGACAAGAGATTAGTAGGTGATAGCAGGTTTGACCATTAGCCTTGAACAAGACACACCAATGAGGGGAAAGGCAATTATTAGGCCTCCTTTTTGGAGCATATTGCAAGTGTTGATCTTCTTATGATACACCTCCAAGTTGAAGGCACAACTTTAGGTTGGATGGGTCTACACCAGACCTTTTTACAGGAAAAAGTTGCAAGGGGGTAGCAAAGTGGGATAACCCCTTGAAGAATGAGTTATAAGAAAAAGAGCCCGAGAGAGATGGAATCTAAATTTGGTTATCAGGCCCCAAGAAAACATTTTCAAGAATTTGTAGTAGGCTGAGAACACCAGGGCATTTATATTCCCTAATACCCCTTCTAAAACCCAAATCCCAATCAAAACCATTGCTTGAAAAGGAAGGGACTGCAAACTTAACCACTGGGTCTCCTTTATAGGTAGAAATAGCAAAAAGAGAGGAAAGTTTGTTCTTTCAAAGAAATAGCAAGGGGTTTACAGGCTGCAAATTGTTTTGGGCTAAGTTGTAATTGGTTTCAAATCATAAGATTTACAGGTAGTTGGATAATCCTTTCCCCAACTTTGCAATGTTCTCTTAATATTTCTAATTTATAAAATTTTCAGTTATTTTCTTAGTTGCTCTTTCAAAGAAGACTACTCAACCAAAACATGTTCCCAAAATTTAGCATTGTTACGTAAACATACATCATACCTAACACAAGGAAGACAAAAATTATGGAATGAATTGTCTTCCACAGGGAAGCATGAGTAGCCCTACCAGATATTCCAGCATCCCATTCATTATCCATGTATACAGTATACTTAACAATCTGCTGCCATAGTTTGTCCCTATCTAGTGGTAATCAAATGATCCTCCCTATTCTCAACCATTCCCCCAATAGAGCCGAGTTCCTCACTTCAATCCTCCCTATTCCCAAACCTCTTTTCCTTTTACTTCTACACACCATTGCCTTATTAATCAAATGATCCTCTTTCCCCTCACCTGGTTCCCACAGGAAATCCCTCATCATTTTTTCAAATTTTTTGCCTACCTTCTGTGGGACCTTAAATATAGAAAGATAGTACACTACAGATTTGTCAAAGTAGACTAAATTAGTAATATTCTACCCCCCCCCCTAAAAATCTGTCCTTTCTTCCACACTATTAGCCTCTATGAAAAACTCTGCAAGCTAGGGAAAAAATTTGTCCCGTTCATTAATATTGAGAAATGGCAAGTTTGAAGACATCCCATTATCCACTTGCACCATTTCTCCCCAAAGCCATGTTTATTCAGTACCTCCAATAAGAAGGACCAATCCACCAAATTTAGATTCTCCCATATCCTCACAACTTTTGTTTGATTCTTGCAAATATCATCCCAAAGGGTTCACAAAGCATCCAAGTAAGACTTTTTCTAACAAGCTTACTCAGTAACCATGAGTGGGAGATCATTGTGCGACTATAATTCATATTCTATTTGTTAGTTTATCACTACTACTATTATTATTAAAATCAATATTGCAATGATGATGATGATTAGAGGGCAAACTACAATTCTGATTATCAGTAGAGTAATTAAACAAGAGAAAAACATATAGTCAGATTATAAGAGAACCGATTATCAGTGAAATATAACGACAGTCAAGAAAACAAAAAACAAGCAAAAAAACTGACAGACAAGCATGCAAGGTATGTGGGACCATGAACAAAGGACAAACTGCAATACTAGCAAGTGGGAAAAGAGTTCTGAATTGATACCCTAGATAACCAACCATTAAGAAAACACCCCAAACAGTGCTTTCCCTTCCCCTATTATACGGACTAATATCAGCTGCTTCCTACAATACAACAGATCAGTCATTAGCATCTATAATGAATCCAATACCAGCACAGTCCATGCAAATAAGCTAGGAGATAAAAAGGAAATGTTATTTAGAAGTGTCATCAGGAATCTGTGGAGTGTCGGGCTCTAATGTGTGTCTGAACACAGACACATCATCCATTTAGGAGAGCCCATGCAACATTGCTTTCAACTCATGCTATATACAAATTAAGAATAAGGGCTGAATAAAGCATATAAGAAATAGAAGAGGTTTCCATATAGGAACATCTCCAAAAAAGAAGTCTGGTCATTATCATTGCAATCTTTAGATTTTGCAGAAGCGTCTTGAAGAATAAAATTAGAAAACAGCACATCCACACAAATGCGTGTAGCCATGTATACCTTAATGATTCATGCATCCTGTGACTGATGACCATGTAGACCAGTAACTAATATTGTTGTGCCACTGGTTAATATAATCAATAATCTAACCATCTAGCCAGCATGTTTGGGTACGTTATAACTTACAAAAAATAATATATATATATATATGAAATATGTGACTCATGGTCAAACCGTTTGACCCACGACCCAGCAAGCACTCTGGGTCTTGTGTCCAATCCAATTCTTACAACATTGGAATAATCTGAACTTTGTGATGTAGTACGTCAACCACTTGACCATGGACTCAAGAACTATGAATGATGCTTTCTAAAATAATTAATAAGGCAAACAACAAATTGATATACAAATATTGTAGCTTGATATTAAATGTGCAAAAACAGAGTAAAAGTCATCCTTGCCTAAAGAGTCAAATGCAAAACTTTTATTACTTGAAGTTGAACACTTCACATGCTTTTCCTCCCCCACCACCCCTCGTAATTGGAGGTCAGTCTGGTCATATATTTTCAATTATCCAACTGTATATGAAGAAGCTAATGTCTTGTCCATTTAGAGAGTGGAGGAAAAAATCAGCATATACTTATGGGTTATGGCACAGATTTCTCAGTGATCATTACCTGCACCAGATAACAACTAGGGGCTGCATGATAATGGCTGAAGTGCTCAAACTGTATGACTTATTGCTTTTAGGGAATAATTCATTAAGTGGGTTGCATAGTTGCCAAGGCAACACCTAGGTGACGTCTAGGTGATTAGCACCTATGGAGTCACCTTGCCCAAACGCCCAGTTGCTTTTGTACAAGGTGCCTTATAATATATTTATATTTTTCTTCTTTTTATTTTCTAACTTTTTTCTTTCCTTTTCCAGGGACAATCTTCTTTCTGATGAATATGTTGATTTTTATGATTCATTATGATGTTTATACTTGCTAACAGTTATTGTTAATTACTAGTAAAAGATAGTTGCTGGTTGCTATGAAACCTATGGAACTAGCCTAGGATTTAGGGTTTTTCTTTTAAAATCCATTGCCTAGGCAGCTAGGCACTCCTTATTACCTACAAGGGCATGTTAGGTTGTGACTTAATGGTTGAATGGCAYGTTAGGTTGACTAATATTTTATCCCTAAATATTCTATTATATGACTCCCACTAAAAGGCAAAGCAACAAGTCATTAAGTTCAGCCTCTTCAGTTATTGTCAGTAGGCCCCGTAGTTACCAAAAAAAGGCCCTTAATATTATACTTCTTGACTCGGTATCATTTCCATTTGTTGGTTTAAGCCTCTAATCCCCATGAGCTAGAAGAATCCTAGAATGTCACCATTAAACAATCTAGGATGATAGGATCTGGATTCCGGTCAAATCAGATTATAGTATGAAACCAAAGCATCTTGTCTAGCTCAGCTTCTATTTACCCAATTATATGATTCTTCTAGACTTCAGAATCCACCTCCAAGCCATTTCTAGGATTTTACACAGTACATCTTCAAGAATGATCAAAACATGAATAACCCAAATTACATGGAAACTAAATGGGATTTCATAGAGTTGGATTTTGGACTTCAGATATCAGGATCACCAATTCAATTGTCCACCTAATCTGCACAATCATATTCAAACAGCCCCTAAATACTAGCCACCAAACACTCAAAATTAACTATTATGTAATGTAATGTTAGCCCTACACACAGTTTATATTCATTCTGCTTCCTGGAGATTCAGATAACCAATTCCTGAGAGTTTCGATGGTGCATTATACACAGAGAATAATAAAGGATGAGTTGATCATCACCAACCCCTTCACAGACAAGACACAATGATGCATGAAAAAATAATAGTGAATGGATTAAGACCAAAAGATCTGATCTTGATTATTACCGGATATAGTATAAATATGGAACAACCAAGTGTTACCAATACAGCCAATAAATAGTCCTTCCCCTTGTATCTTTTTTGCATAATTATTGTTCCCCAAATCTGCATAAACAAAAGCAAATGAATAAACCCAAAAGCATGTAAAAATTATAGTAGAAACTAACAAGCAATATAACCAATACAAGACCTTGTATAAATTAGCATGTTCTAAAAGATGCTTAAACCTATATAACCAATCATAATAACTTGAGTTGTATATACCATTGGAACAGACACCTATGCTCATTGGTAAAAGCATATTCAAATCACAAATTGATCACAATAGAATAAATGTAAAACAATAAATAAAATGTCCATTAGTATACATTGAAGTTTTCACTTTCATTCTAACTTAATCTATACTAGCACTAAAGATTTAACAATCATTCTACATTTCCCACAAGACAGATTTTGCACGAGATGAGAAGCAAAAAAATAATAATACTCTCAATGTCCAAAGACCAAACAAGAGAAAAGGGGTAGTAATTTTAAAAATGTATGCATAAAGCCATACTAAGCAGTAAGAGACATGTCTTGAAAGTAGAAAGCAGAAGTTAGCTATATTGGTAATAGGATACCTACCATAACTGGTATCATCTTGGCACATTTTGCAAGTGTCTGAACTGGGAAACTGACATACTTGAGGGCCTGAAAAAAATAATTTTCTTTTGTAATCATATATTACAATAATAAGTTCTGTCAAGTTGCCCAACTCCCAACAGGAAGCCAATATCCAGCTAGACGTATTTCTTATTATTTTCTTTTTTTTATCTTTTTTCCTTAACCTATTACAAAGAGAATCAGGGATAATAATACAGAATTGAATAAATTACCTCATACTGGCATGTTGTTGTCAAAATGTTTGATACTGATATGAGACAATATTTATAAATTGGAGCAACAGGATCCAAGGCCTTCTTACTTGCCTACAAATGGGACACAGAAAAAGCATAAGTTCCATTAAAGAAGATATTTCTTGCATTCCAGAAATTTTAAACGCTATAGTGGAACATACCACCAGAGAGATTGCAGACACAGCAGATGTTGTGATGCGGTTACAGAAAACAAGAAATAGTGAATATTTAAAGAATTCTTTGTTTCCCCCATATGGAACTCTCATGATTTTCTCCTGCAGAAAAACAAACTCTTTACAGATAATACTTATAATAAGGACCACTAAACAAATGCTCAAGACCTGCAGTGATATTTTCCACCTTACTAAAAACAAAAGAATTTAACCACAAGAAGACATAGGCATGCTTTTGATCATAATTCTATAATCAATATAAGATAAGTGGGAGCTTATGGAATCATTATGGAGAGATATTGCAGGTAATTCTTTTCTGCAGGATCCATAGGCCAGAGGAGAATCACCTGCAGAGGAGAACTACCATCCACCCCAACAGTAACTAGAACAGCTCTTAACTAGATAACCTCCATCACACAAACAGGCTACACAATAAAGAAGAAAAGCTACTGATCAGAAAAATAAAGAAGTAAACCAGAAGACTTGAGAAATGCCACACATGGAATGTATATGCAAGACTGAAATGTTCCAACAGGATGCACAAGGGATGAAAAGGGGAATCAACTTTTAGTTTAAGAGGTATACTTCCAATCATCTGAAAATTTGAAACCACCTGAGAAATTTTCTGGGCTGCCTGAACAAGGGCTACCATCTCCGTGACAAAGAACCTCAAACACCATCAATTTGATGAAGTCAAGAGTAATAGTTACAACATAAAGTCAAGTGTTTAATCATATAATAAGTTCCCAAATGTCATGGGTAACGTTCTTAAACTAATAAGATGGATAGGCTTGATGAAAACTCTTGGTTAACAGTGACAAGTTCAGTTTTCTATGGATGGAAAGGAGATTGACTGTCAGGGTTTGGAGCTTAATATGAGAAAAGTATTAAGGCGCCGGTTCATAACCTCGTGATGGATTTGGACCAAGGAGGGTTGATGAATCAGGACTTGCCACCAATTTGGAGATTAGTAGGGGAAAAGTATTAAGAGCTTCGCACCAACTTCTAGTAAAGGATAAAAATATTATTATCGGCAGATGAGTTAAGGGGGTAAACAACAAATCCTCAAAGGTGGCATTCCTAGTGAAACAGCTTCTCTAAAAAAGTTTCTAAAAAGGGATAGCCTAGCTAAGAGAGAGGTATGGGTCTGGATTCTTTAGAGTGTTTTATGTTTTCAGCAGCAGTTGAATCAGTAGAAAACCAACCTGTGCATTCATTGCAAGGTGGCAAATACACTACAGATGAAGTTCATGGGTACGTTTCGGCTGAAGGTTGCTTCCCTCATTCACAGCTGCAATCTAAAAAAACTTAGAAAAAGAGGAAAGATCATTTGGAAAATCATACCAGCAATAATTTTGTGAAACATATGGGTTCAGAAGAGAGCCCATATATTTGAAAATAAGATTTTTTTTAATAGGAAACAGTAACTTTCATTAACCTTAAAAATTATAGAATTACAACTTCCACCTTCCAAAATAAGGTGACCCCTCATAACATAATCAATTTACAAGCATGCCCAAGAGAAAGTCTCCCTATTAACCCCTTGCTCTGCTAAAACATCAGCCAAACCATTTGCTGACCTCCTAACCCAATTAAATTGTGCTCCAAGCTCCTTTGTCAAGTTCATTATTTCCCTTACATGCTATCTAAGGGACCAAGCACCCAAACTATTTGTTTGCATCCAGCCTATGACCAATTTTGAATTCCCCCTCCACTTATAACTGTTGAAATCCCAACTGTTTAGCCAATCTGAGCCCTTGAAGGAGCGCCATTACTTCTGCTTTTAGTGAGTCACCCACGGGGCCCACCCCTATTGGGCCAGAGAAGAGGGCCAAGACTCTTCCTTCCATATCTCTAAACACACCCCCAATTCCAGAGGACCAGGGTTGCTTGTAGAGCTGCCAACAAAGTTCAATTTCACAGTATGTTGTAAAGGAAGGGTCCAATCTTCATGAATAATAGGATTTGGAGCAAGGCCAATACACTATTTAGGTCAAAATCCCTTAACCCCCTCCTAAAACCCAAGTCCCAATCAATCCGAGTTCTTGAGTTGGAAGGAACAATGAGGTTGGAAATAAGCTCATTATTATGATTAGAGAGGGTAAACAAAGAAGTGAATTGAGGATTTTTAAGCATCTGAATTTGTCTCACTTGTTTTGTACTCAGTCTTGGTGGAGTCTGTAACCTAATTTGCTTACAGGCCGTCTTTTTGGCCTGGGTACTGTTGTATTTTCTCCTTGTTGAATGAATAAATTTACCTTACCTTTTCAAAAAAAAAAACAAAGAAGTGAATTGATCTTTCAAAGGAAAATTCCCCACCAAAACGTGCTCCAAAATTTTCACAAGATTTCCAGAACATAGGTTATACCTGTAAAGGGCAAGAAATATGGTAAAAGAATATGAATAGCTTTCCATGGAGACTTGTAGCCCTAACCAAAACTCTAGCATCCCATCCATTAGCTGCAAGACCACAAATGCTTATTACCACCTTAGACCACAACTTATCCCTATATCTCAACTGTCTCTGTAACCACTTTCCCAGTAGCCACCCACATTCCTCTTTTGAGTATTGACAATCCGCCACCAAGCTTTTCACTTCTACTAACCTGCTCTCAATTAACCTTATGATCCTTCATCTCCTCCCCCAACTCCCAAAGGAAATCCCCCATTATCTTTTCCAGATTTTTCCCCACATTCCCCAGAATTTTGAACACRGACAGAAAGTACACAGGCAGTTTACTAGTGAAGATCGGATCAACGCGATCCTACCCCTTAGAGATAGATAACTCTTCTTCCATGAGGCAAGTCTTTTGGTAAACCTCTCAACAACAAGAATCCAAAAGCTACTATTGTTTGGGTTTGAGTGGTCGAGAATATATATCAAGGCACCCAGCCAAGGGTGCCTAGGCAACACCTTGACAACTATCTATAAGGCTATAGTCGCTGATGTTACAGCCTATAGCATGCACTTAGCCACTTACCTAGTTGCTATAAACAAGGCATTTAAGCAAGGCGTCCAGCCAAGGGTGCCTAGGCAACACCTTGACAACTATCTATAAGGCTATAGTCACTGATATCTACAGCCTATAGCATGCACTTCAATAAAAATAATAAAGATTAGAGGTCACTTCACTTCCATTTTACTGGTCATGCTTCATATCTGATCTAGGAAATGTATAAAAAATTGGAGACTATCACTAATAGCAACTTCCTTGACCTTTCTTAACCATCCATGCTCTTCAGTTAGGGTTCAAGATGATAAAATAACACCCTTTGAATCTGATACAGTTAGAGGGTTCTCCAGTATAACTGAAAACATACACATTTTTCCCATACTGTGTTCTGTCTTTGAACCAAAACCAGGATAGCCTGCCAGAGTAATGAAAATAAAACTCTTATGACCTTTCCGAATATTCAACCAAGAGCATAGCTAGAGTGAATTTTGTCAATTTCAGAGAAACTGGTCAAAGAAAAATTTTTAGAACAGGACCTTTGCATTCTATTCTTAAATACTGGTTCTTCTAACAACAATAGGACATTAAAATAAGGATTCTAAGAATCCCAAACATTCAGTCCTGCACTAATAAAATCCTTCATAAGAAGGTCATACCACACACAATTGCAATCTGCTAACTTACAAAAGTACATATCTATGTGTTCAGGCATTACTTAGCAACATAAACATGTGATGTGTGTGTGCGTGAGAAAGAGAGAGAGAAGAAAACAAATTAAATCAGTGAACAAAGGAGCCCGTCCAAACCATAGCATGCAACCCATACAGTGACTTCCCATGAAGCCCCCCAGCTACTTCTAGATCAATCACCATACCTAACGGACTAAATACCAATAAAGCCTTCCTACTGTCCATCTAGAACACCACAAGGATCCTCATTCAAACATGATATCTTGTAAAAGTTTAAGTTACATTCAAAACAGAGTCCTCAAAATATGTTGATTGACATTGAAAATTGGTGTGTCACTGACTCCGTTGAGCAATGCTCCAGGTAGAAACCACACAATTGATAAAATAAATCATCAATCCCCTAATATTACTAGAAAGATTTTAATTTTTGGAAAAAAAAATCTCAAGTCTGCAAACATTTAGAAGGTTTATCTTGATGCTTCTCTTGATTATGATCTAAGTAAGGTTAATAAGGAGGATCAAACAGTCATACCTGCAAAACACCATAGATGACAAGAGTGGTCATTATTCCCGTGACTGCAAAGATCCCCTTCCACAACTTGTTCTCTTTTACAGCAGGTAATGGAGGTTCGATCATGGCTCATCCAAACAGCACTGCACAACTAGAAATGGAACAAAAATGATCAATTTCTAGTAAGAAATAAACTAAACACTGCAATAAGTCATAATGTGGAACTGCTAAATGCTAACCAAGCTAAACCAACAGAACAAATAGTCCTTCAATAAAAAGAGATAAAACACTTGCCAATGTTTGCCACTAAAACTAACCAAAGAAAAAGTAAGAGAGAATGGAACAGGCAGACTCAATGGCTGGAGCCTTCAGGTAATGGCAAGATTTTCTGCAGAGACCTTTGTCTGAACAAGAAAAAGAGGAAGGATTTTATGGAGATGCACAAGGGCTGCAACAGTATGGAGAATATGGGAGGAAAGAAATGCAAGGATTTTTAAGGAGAAGGAGAGAAGTCAGGAAGCAATTCTCGTAAGCATAATGGCCAACGTGATGCACTGGAAATTCTTACCTTATGCACATGATGATTTGTGCAGAAGTGGCTGCATCCTCATCAAAGAAATCAATAATCTGTACCCAATGGACACCAACTGAGGAGGGATTCATCAAGTTAAATTTTGATGGGAGCAATATTGAAATTCCAGGTCTGTCATGTGTGGGAGATGTATTTAGGAATACACAAGGACAAATTATTGCTATTTCTTCAAGACAATTGATCATGGGGACTCCATAAGGGGCTGAGCTTCTTTCAGATTCACGGATTACAGAGGGCAAGATAACTGAGTATCATAAATTTAGTCATTGAAAGTGATTCTAAAGTTGAAATTGGATGGATAGAAAATGGTGGGAAATCAGTATGGGGTTATATAAATGAGACCAAACAGATGGAATGGATGACAAGGAGCATGATTATAAAGGCTCAGTGGGTGCAGAAATCTGCAAATGGTTTAGCTGATGCTTTAGCTAAGCAAGGGGATAATGGGAATCAATTGTATTGGGTTTACTTGTAATTTCTATAGTGATGGAGGTAGGGAGTAATCACTACCCTACCTAAGGATTGTTTGTAACTTTTCCACACTTTCTGATATTAATTAATAAAATATTTCAGTTACCTATCAAAAAAAGCAACTGGACTCAGTGATGTGAAGCTATATAATCAGAAGAGAAGAGGTAGGGAATTTGACATGCACTTGCAGTGAGTGGACAGAAACATAGTAAAGGACAAAGACAGGATCACATGGACATGTCATATGTGTTGCAATAGAGGGGAGCAGGGAGGGGCTCAGCAGGGGAGGGCTTAGCATGGGTTTTCCAAAGGAAACAAATAGGTAGTTGTAAAGCATCATTTGAGCCTATGAGCGAAGCAATAATTCAAGAAAAATAGTATTGATCGTCCTTATCATCTTTGCCACTGTTTTGCACTCTCTACATTGTTTCATGTCAGTTGATCAAAGTAGGATCACATTACAACCAAAGGACTTTCCAAGGCACATGGACAATAACAGGGATTAACGGAAAAGGCAGCCACTCAAGTTCAAGGCAGTGGTCCCCCTACTCCATCCAACAGCAAGTTCTAATCTTATCAATGCACAATAACTGGCTAATTATGAACCTATTCAAGGCAGTGGTCCCCCTACTAGCCCACAACCCATAATATTTTTGAATTAAATTAGCAGTACCGATCTTATCAACATGTAACGGCAGGTCCTAATCCTATCAATTCTATAATCTACAATTCATATGAAAGAGTGGCATTATTAATTCATAGGCATATCAAATGGTGTGTTTATAAGAAATTATTATCACTGTTTTTACCTTAAATGCAACCACAAATGCAAGTAGGAAGTAGTGAAAGTCCTGCAAAAATGTTATGTTATGTGTCAGCATAAATGCTGATGGCATCTATAAACCATTCATTTCTACTTCTTCACCTTCCAGGTAGATAAAAAAACAAAGTAACATGACCACGATTAGAACATATAATAATTAAACAGCATTACATGATCCAGAATTAAACATCATTACATAAATCTGAACACAACATTTGAATACAAGTCACTGACCCACCTAGGCTTTTATGTAACAGATATATTGGGGGAACTGATACACCAACATAGAGTATTACTAACAGGCATATCAAGGAAATTGATACATGTAAATCCAGCGAGAGGGAAATTACAGAAGTATGTATTGCTACAAGTCAATATAAAACAGTAACAGATCACTGTTCACCCAACTTACAGAAGCGATATAAGGCTATAATCTGGCATTCAACTGACATAATGCCATTACTGTAGGAACAGATAATAAGGCTATAAGTATAGGTTAGAGTAACAAATCACTGGTCACCCCAATCTCAACCTGTACACTTTTCCTTCAATGTCATGGGACATGCATATAGATGATTCCTTCATGAATGCTTGAGTTGTGTGGGAATTACTATATGCATGTAAACAATATCAGAACAAGAGCTTTTACAAAGGCAATTCCTCAAAGTTGACTAAAGTCTCAATATCATCAAATTTTTTATCTTGACAAGACAAATCATGTATTACTGTAACTTGTAGGATGGGCACTAGATAGATATTAGAYGGGTTCACAAGACAATAAAGCTAAGGTCATTCTTAATAACAAAGTTGTATAAGTTTAACAGAAAAATCCAGCGTCAGAAAAACACAAACTATTTTAAATAAATAATATACCTTCAGAATTGACAATCATTACATTTCCCTGTTAAAGAGCACGTTTTTCCCTGGTTGTTTAAGACAAGAAATCTTTGAGAAAAAAAACAGAAATAATCCACAAGACACAGATGATAGGACACATCAGTGTCATGCAGGATTAAGGAAAAGAAATAATCCATCACAGCCACAAGTCATCCAAATCAATGAAATAAAAACTAAGAATGTTTTTGAGCTATAATGAAATAATTCATAACAGAAATAACCCATCACATAACCACAAGCCATAAAAAATGAATAAAATCAAACCCAAGAATCTTCACCAGTTCGGGAAAAAAAAAAAAAGCATCACAGAACAACAACTTCCAGTACAGAAAACCAAGGCAACAACCACAAACCTTGGACTATATCCACCAGTTCGAATGAAATAACGGGAAGGAACAAAGGAACGGAAACAAATGAATGAAATCAAACCCACAAATCAAGAAGTAGAAGAAATAGAGTAGATGCCATACCTGATGCACGCCTTCTCTAGTTTTCCGCCAACTTGGAGATCTATAAGAAGAACTGAACATGAATCAAACAAAAAGTACTTGGAAACAACATAACAAGACATTGTTCGAAGAAAAAAAGCAAATAACAATGACCAAAAGCTCACCGTTGTAGAATTCGAGAAACAAGGGTTTCTCTCTTTCGTTTGTATATATATTAAACGTATATTGGGCTTCACACATTTACCCCTTAGCTTGTTTAGCAAAAAGCACAAATGCCATCGCCGCTAGCTGGAAGCATGATTTGTTTAGAAATTATGATATTAAATGACAGGTTTAATGCTCAGCATGTGAATCCAATAAGCTCAAATCAGGACTGATGATGCTTACATCGACGCTGGCTACAGTGCTATTTCGGCAGACGAAGGTGGAAATCTGCTCAACGACCATGCAGCTCGTATCCCWTTGTGAGATCAAATACCTTTGTTATATGCAATTGCTGTATGTTGGTGATTTGATTCTGTTGTATTTGTTCGTATATCCCCAGAAGAGAACACTGCTGCTCCTGCTCTTGGCTCGTGCAGATTCTAGTGAGAGAAATCAATTCTCATTTCAATATTTTTCTCGTTTTCTCTTCTGCTACACTTTCTTCACAGGAAAATGCACGGGTTTTTTTTTGGGCAGAAAAAGAAAAAAAAAACACGAGTTTGGGTAACTGAAATTAAAAGCAGAACGAATTTATTAACGGACTTTGGATATTTGAGTTATTAATTTCAAAATTAATTAATAAATTTCATTTATTAAAGTAATGGATTAAATTACGTTAATGTTTCTTTCATTAAGACCCACAATAACAGCTCGATGACGAAGTAATTAAGACGATGACTCAGCATCCCTCCATAAACGAAAGTGCGGGATCTGCGTAACCGTAAGTTCTCTAAAGAGGGTGATCATGGGCCGGACCGGGACTGATGATTCCGGATCACCTGCCAATAAAACACGTTCCAGTTTTTAAAACCGAACCGGACAGTAAATCGTTCAGGGTCCGGTTATTGGGTTGAATGGTCTGACCGTTTGAATTGAATGAAYGGCCTGTTCTGATAAAAAAAATAAAATAAATAAAAAATGACCAAAAWTTGTTGGATAATTTGAACGGCTCTAATGGTTCGACTAACTAGGTCAACGGTTTGCTGACCAAATCAACGGTTTTTGGCCAAAAGATGACTCTGGGGTAGAATAGAACCGGTCACCTGTTCCCGATTTTTCCGGTCCAACCATCCAGTCTGGTCCGGATTTGAAAACCATGTGTTCCAACCTCTACCAACATAATYTCACAACACACATCTCATATATGGCAGCTCCCACTTTTATGGTAGGTCCCAGTCTCATGGTGATGTGTACGGTGTTAGATCAAGTTGGTAAAGGGTTGAGACGTGTTTTATTGGCAGAATATCCTAATTCAGGACTGATTACCGACCTATATTTTTATCTAATAAAAATACATTAAATTAAATATTATTTATATCGAACCTAAATTGTTAGGCCCTCACAAAACCTAGGTCCAATCCTACAATTTTGGGCAAGCTGAAAATGACAACCACTATGAAGCCATACTGCCCTAGCACTATATGATTATTAGCAAGGATATGGGTCAATTTGGTAAAATCTGAAACCTACATTGTTTCGATCTCAACTAAAATAAAACATAATCCATAAACAACTTAAATAGTATCGTATATTTATTACTAATCCAACTTCACACGATGATGGTTTCACTAAGGCCAATTCATACTGGTTCTCCAAGTAAGTTTGGAATTAGACCCTCAAACCAAGGCATATTTGAAGTCAGTTCTGGGTAGAACCAACCCATTTGTTCACTCTTAGTTATTAGGCCATTTCGATGCTTGATTTGTAAGCCACGACATCCAATTAAACATGCATTCATTCATAAGAACATATATTAATTTTATGTAGACATATGCATATTCATAATAGTAATAATATTATTGTTGGACTTGAATCTTAGAGGGAGAAAATCTTAGTTGTTGCACTTGTCTTCTACCTTCAAAGGCTAAAGTTTTCTTGTTGTTCTATTCATTCCTTGATGTGTTTTTGTTGGGTTTATTCTTTAAGATTCATGAGTGTGTTGAATTTAATTATTATATATAAGTTCTCTTAATTAGGGTTTAGATGGATTTTGATTTTAGGATTATATAGTTATTTGTTTAATTCAATTCAATACCTCATTATTATTTGCATGAGGAATTTTTATCGTTGTGCTTAATGCTTTAAAAGAATTGACCAATCTTTTAATGATTCGATGATTTATGCATGACTGATTAAATGATTGTTATGAATTAGATCCCCAGGCAATAAAAATAGCATGTTAGACTATGATATCCAAAGATTATTAGTTCATGTGTGGGAATCAATGAAGCTTAATGAGTCAAATATCCTTCTACGATTAGAGGTTTCCAAATAACTTAATGCTTATTTTTCCTTTTGACAAACACTTAAAAATTTGATGGTAGAATTTGATTAATAAAGGATTAACATGACTTGAGAAAGCTTGTTAATTAATTTAGGGAAATCCACCATCACATGCAAATAACTTAAATATACCTTAGGGTAATTTTGGTCTTGTTTGATTAAATAGGTAATTATATAACCTTGATTTAATGAAATCTAAACCCTAGCTGCATGCATTCATTGACTTAGATTTTATTAAGTTTTAGATTTGCATGAATTTTTCTTAGTTTTTTATTCACTCAATTGATTCACGAGTTCAACTTGGGTTAATTTAAAATTGATTTGGTACTGTGATCTAATCTCTGTGGGATCAACACTCATCTCATCATTATTTACACATATTTGACTAAGATACACTTGCCTGAATTAACTATGCATAAATTACACAACAACTACTAAAACAAACCTTACCAAAAACTAAATTTTGACTAAATGAAGCATATTTGTGTTTTCCATGGTTTTTACCCAACATATGCCCACCTTACCAGAAGCTACTTGAAAGCCTACTCAAACAAGCACTTAATCTAATCAAATACTAAATTCACTATGGTTCAATTGACAACTCTACTAAACCAAACCCTTTTCATAAATAAATAGTGAATATGCAATTATATTTTTGTTAGGAAATAAATTATGTAAGATTTTGGTCATGCATTGTGCCTGTCAAAGGCTTGGCATGTGTTGTCCACTAGCACCAACCAACCTATACTTAATTATTTATGACCTCCATATGCAAAGAGAGAAGAAGAAGAAGAAGAAGAAGATGATAAAGTAAAAATATATGACCATTTGAATAAACTATTGCTTTCTACCTTGTATTTTGGATTTAAGGCTCAGTTTGGAARGAGTATAAATACAAATATGCAGAGTGCAAAGCTTTGTATTTTGTATGCATTTGTGTTGTACATATTTGTATTTGTACTCTTTCCAAACTGAGCCTAAGCAATATAATATATGCCTCAAATTTTGACATACAGTGGGTTTTAGAAGTGAATTTATTCAAATTAAGGCATGTTTGGGATGGTTGCATTGGCTGCTTTTTTCTCCACCATATTGGCAGTAGATGGCGATTAGACTTCACCAATTCATTATCCTATTTGGTTAGTTTGATAAAGCACAAACATTTTGTATTTCCTCTCGTCTTGGGTTATGTAAAACTCACTTTTGGAGGAAACATCAATTTGATTTTTTTGCTTATGAGAGTTAGCTTTTGCCTACGTGGTATGTGTAATAATAAAAAGCAATAAACAATTGTTGCATTGAAATGCATGTATAACCCATTTTTTCTTGATTTTCAAAGCATTATACCAATGCCCATACAACACCATTATACCAAATACATAGTAAAAATACATTGGCAATAGAAAAGTACAAAACAATAATTAATTAATGGAAGTTTTTTTAGCAAAGAATAGTTGAGAATTAATTAAAAGAAAAAGGTACATGAGAAGATGTGCATCAAGATGCAAAACAAGGAAAGTAAAGATTGCAAAGGCAAACACTGCCACTAAGCAAAATATCTCGATGAACACTAGATTTAGCTAACCCATCTGTTAAAGTGTTTTATTCCCTGGGGATCCAACTTAGTTTAACATGCATTGAGCCTATGATATCTCTAGCTTCTGATAAAAAATGGGCTAATATCCAAGTCCTACTATATTTTTCCTTTATCCATATTATTGTATTAGTAGAATCACCCTCAATAGCTAGAGAGGAAATACCTATCAGTTTGGCACAATGAATATTAGCTATCTGATGCAATTCAAGATCATGCCCCGTGAAAACATTAAACCATTTTAAAAGAAGAAGACAAGTGAACCTACATTTGAACTCATTAATGGGCTTCAAATAGTCATTTTGGTTAGTGGGTTTCTAACAACTAATTTGTGAATGGACTTTTAGGGGCGTTCTTTTTTCGGATTTTGAGAGGGGGGAAAGTTGGTCAATGGGATTTTAATTTCCATTGATCAAGAATCCCATGTTCTTTTTTCAAATTTATGTGGGGATTAAGGAAAATTTATCTTCCTGGGTACCACTTACTCGGGTAAGTGATATCCATCTCCTAGTTGGGTAAATAACTTTTCCACCTAGGGGGAAAGTTGCTAACACTTGAATTGGATAAAAATGCCCATTTTAAAAATGGATTTTTATGACTAAAATGGTCATTGCCTTATTTACATGAGAAATAAAAGAACATGGGTAAATACACTTACCCGGTTAAATGTTTCTCATGAAAAACTTACCCAAGTAATTGCATTTATCCGGGTAAATAACTTACCGAAAAGCGAACAAGGCCTTAAAAGTTAGTTTGTTTGTGGATTTCTAATAGTTGTTTTTATTAAATATTCTAATTGCTAGTTTTTCATTAAATCTCCAACAACCATTTCTAATGGTTGCATTGCTTGCTTGTTTCTCTACCATGTTGGCACCACATGGCAATTGGACTTTACCAAATCATTATCCTCTTTGATTAGTCTGATATAGCATAAACATTTTGTATTGCCTCTCATTTTGTATCCTCCTCGATTTCCTCTTCCCATATGTCCTTCTGAAGTTCTTCATTGGTTTCATTGATAGCCACATTAACCCCTTCTAAGGCCAAATTTATATCAAATTGGGAAGAGGAGAAGAATAAGTCCCTAAAATGATTTTCAAAGATATTCTTTATGTGATATTGACCTTCCATCTATACACCATAATCATTTTTAAGCTTTAGGATTCTGTTTTTTGCTCTCCTAATTGTTGAGTTATGAAAGAACCTGGTGTTTCTATCCCTGTACTTAAGTCAATTTACCGTTGATTTTTGAGCCCACATCTCTTTAGCCACTCATCCAAAAGAGCTTCTAAATCCCTCACTTTTTGACTATTGTATTTGGATCCTTTTTTTTCCTTGTTCTTCAGCTAGCTCCTGCTTTGCTCTAGCAATCTGGCTCTTGAACCTTACCAAAATCTTTTTTTATTCCAAGACTGAAGAGCCTTTTTTAATCTCTAACACTTCTTAGAGATCAAGGTAATAAAAGGATTTGATTGGCAGTTGTTCCAGAATTCCTTAATTATTTCAATATACTGCTCATGAGAAAACCACATTTCCTCAAATCTAAAGGGTTTCCTAATTTTGAAAACAATTGGGTTTGTATCAAGGCAAATTGGGAGATTGTCTGATCCACAGGTTGGTATTGCCATGGCATTTGCATCAGGGAAATATTCTTTCCATCTGAGATTACCAAGCCCCTATCCAGTTTAGCCTTTATATGATCCGTATGTTCCCTTCTATTGGTCTAAATATACTTGGGCCTGGAGCTTTGAATTTCCTCAAGACCCTAGCCTCGCATAAAACCCCTTCCTTGTCACTCTTCCCCCTTCCTTGTCATCCAGATTAAAGACCATATTAAAATCACCAATGAAGCACCAAGCCCCCAGGTTTTTGTTAGCCAGTTGATTTAGCTTCTTAACAAACTGCCATCTTTTGCTTTTTTCCCGCTCTCCGTAAATAAAAGTACACCAACATGTTTTTTCCATACCGGTATCTTCAATTCTCGCATGAATCAGATTTTTATCAACAGCTAGCACTTGTAAATTTAAATTGTTTCCCCAGAAGAGAGCTAAGCCACCTGCTATACCTACTGAATCAACACCCCAACAGTTCCACTCTCCTATTCTTTGAATTTCTTTCTGCAATTTACCCGACTACATTTTGTTTCACTGAAAAAAATTGCCTGCCTTTTTCATTTTCTGGGACTCTTTCGCTGAACGAACTGTCAAGGGGGAACCAACCCTTGACAGTTCCAGCACATAATTTTCATTGCCACAGAGGGAGTTGTTATCATTCAAGGGAGAGAACGGGAGATGCTTCCAATATACCGTGGGATGTGGCCGTGAGAAGCTCTGTGAGGAAGATATCTCAATTCACTTTAATGATGAGGCCCAGGAAATCTTAGAAGGGTCAGAAATAAAAAATGTCGTAACCACATGGCTGTGAGAAGCTCTGGTTCTCATTAATGTTCATATATCAGTTCGATACAGAATGGAGTCATCCAGTTTTAATGTTAACTGAAATKAAACTGATCAAAATTCGTCCCTTACAAAAAATTCGTTGCCTGTATCTCTTGGTTGTAATTTTTTTTGGCTTAATTCCATTGATTGCCTCTTGTGGTTGAGAGAGAGAGAGAGAGAGGAGAGAGAGAGAGCGCTAATAAATATGGCACACATTCTTAATCACTCTTCCTCTCTTCCAAGTTACAACTTRCAGCCTGTGCCGATTATACGAATTAATCCTTATGAGTTCACAATGACCTTGAAGATCTTTTATTTTATTTTTATATCAGACCTTGGAGATCATACCCTGCAATTTCAACATGGGTTGCGAGTTCAGAAGATGACTCATCAAACAATTTTCTCCTGACATATATGACCACTGTACTTTGAAACTGAATCAGTTGTTTTTGACCCAAATCCAATATTACTCTAGTAAGGAGGATTTGTTCCCAGCAATAAAATATCCACATATAGACTCTATCTCGTGACCCATGTCTGATTTACTTAACCCTAAGAGACGGAGATGATAGAGCTTGATATAAGAAAACAAGGGGCTCTTTGTAACAACAGCTGAAATGGATGAAACAAAGCAATAAATCTTTCAGTTTGGCAACTTCAGCTATTATCAAAGGCCTCCCTATGAATGACAAAGAAACAATGCAAAGAAAGGAACCATTAAAGAAAACTCAAGATGGCATAAACTCTTCCCTCTTCCGTCCTATTCTCTCACTGAATCTCTGGATTTTCAAATAAAACAGTTCCTTTGAAAGCCACATGCCACTTCAATGCAAATTGAGAGGGAAATGAGAACCATCCAGGTGACCAATGTTTATTTGGATTCTATTGGAGCCTTACTTGAATCATCTGGAAACAATAGTGGGTTTATCAAGTATGACATCAGATACGACAATTGCAAGTTGAAATGAGGAAGAGTTTTTTGGGTTTGCCTTGTAGTCAATGGCATTGAGGAGCTGCTTTCATGGTGCAGTCCATAAGGTTGTAGAGACTCCAAAAGTGGATAGGATGGAGGGAAGAGTTCCTGTTGAGTTAGGTTTCTTTCTGTCTTTTTGTTTGCATTCTTACTTTCCCCTTTTTATTTCAAATTCTCTACAATACTGGCCTGTTAGGGATAAGTGGATAAGTCCACATGCCAATGCTTTATTGGAGGGAACAGAGGAGTCGTTCTCTAAGCATTCAGTGGCACCAATACCGTTGACTGTTGATGAGAAAGGAATCAAAAGTTTACTTGCATTAAACCAAGTAGATTTTCAACTGTCTGCTGAAAAGCAAACCTTCATGTCAAGGATACCCAATAACTTGAATCAAGATATTTTCAAACAATTCTCAATTCTTCCCTCAAATTTCTTCGTTTATAATGTTAAAAACATGTTTGTATTATTGCCTTAAGCAACAAAATTCTATCAATGATCTCAGCTTTTCTGACAAAATTTACTTTAGCACATATATATATATATATATATATATATATGAATATATGCTAAAATAACTTATATATATATTTATTTATTTGTTATACACTTTCAGTGTCATTATTTAGCACCACACCAGTTGACCCATGAGAAATCTAGAAAAGATATCTGACTATTTCTGGAAAATACCAGACAGAACAAGTCTGAGATTAAACACATTAGATGAATACAAGAACTCTAGAATAGATTTTAAAGAAAATAGTCAAACTACAAGTAAAAGACATATAGGGTGATGGTGATTGAAGTGATTGAAGTTTCCATCTCCAGAAAAAAAAACAGAAACACAGAATCATTAATAATAGCTACTTTACCATGTATACTGCCATAAGGTGTCAAGGGGGAGAGGGGAGAAGCTGGCACATCCCATCTTTAAGTATACACATCTTCCTAGAGGAACAGGCTTTTATATTCCCCATTTGCAAGCTGGCATAGTTGATTATAYGAGAAGGTGTCTGTAAAAGAAATACCAATCCAGGCCTATTAATGTCTGCAACCTAAGAAAGAAATTCAGGATAGCATATGCACATGCACAGGATGCTGAGTTTAACCAAGAAAACAGAAATAAGAACATGATTGAGAAGATAGCTGAATGCTTGAATAACTCAATTTGGCAGCAAAATAGTAATAGCCTAATAGGGAAGTACAGATTCATACCGAATGTGTTACCAAAATTAGTCCATCTTTCAGCACAAATGGATTGGTTACTGTCTGCAACTCCAATCACCTCAACAAAATTTGTCAGAGGAAAGGGTGGTGGGGAGCCTTTAATAACCAATTGATGTTCATCTGTAGATTTTCCTGTTGTGATTCCACCATTAGATTGCAAAACTTGAATAACTGTCCGAACCTTTCGTCCTACATACATGCGTAAAAGCTCCCCATTGACAAGAACTGCAGGATTTGATGTGTCCATGTCCTGCAAATCATGTTAGAGATTAATGAGAGAATTGTTCCAAACCTCTGAAAATTTCAATCGATAGATACATTATCAAATTATAGATTTAGATATGTAGCAACAGTTTACAATATCTATGCCTGTCAGTTGGCAATTTGCAGCCCAGTCAAATTCCACAAAGTGTGTGGCTAGCAGACTTACTCAGTATGTTTATCAGACAAGTCAAGAAAGAGAGAATTAACAGAATTCATAAGCTGGTTATCAAAAACAAAAAAGCTGCAATTTGGGCTACAGGGATCTTCTTTAAAAAGTTAAATGGCTTACAAGGATTATGTCAGTCAGATTTCAGTGGGTTAGCAGATTGGCAAATGCCTTGGCAGATTCTTTGGCTAAACAAGGGGCTTCTCAGGTTTCTTTGTATTGGGCTACCTTATAATTGTATTCTGATAAGACTTTGGTTCGACCTCATTCCTAAAGGGAGGTAACATCTCGTGCCTCCTCTTAGGGTGATTGTACACTTTATAAATCTTCGTAATAAAAACACCATTCATTCATAAAAAAAGGTTCAATTTATTAATTTCCATCAGAAGCAAGGTGCCAACCAGCGGGTTGGTAAGGTCTCCTGTTGGTTGTAGCGGATACTTGGGATTGAATCCCGTCTGCATCTGGGTTGGGGGGGTTATTGGTTGGGGGATGGGCTACCCCCTGTTGTGTAGCCCATAAAAAAAAAAGTTCCATCAGGACAGTAAAGATTTAAATCAACGGACAACATTTTACATCGTATTCCAATGGCAACCTAAGAGGGAGCTGGTGATAAGCCAGATAATGGAAGGTCCTGAAACTTAATTTTGATAAAAGTGCCATTATCCAGTGATCCTGGCTAACCAAAGTCTTGGGAAGGGTAGACCGGATATGGACCTAACCTCTGGCATTTTTTTCTTTGCACAAAATGGCTGCTCTCAGACTCAAATCTACATTCTTACACTTAAGGTCCAGATTTTACCATCACATTCACACCAAGCATTGACCCCTTGCAGTCTACCTCTTTTTGGAATCAAGTAAGTTTAACAAAACAAAAGTTTCCAAAATAACAAAGAGGCGGTTAATCAGGCCTTACTTTATATTTGAGCTTTGGTTGATAAGACTCAGCCTACCCAGCTTGGGTTAGAAGTCTACCAAGTATGAGTGCCACCACCCACACCCAGCAAGACACAAGTCTTCTAATGAATAACCTAATCCACTGTCTACCCTGTTTTTCCTCTTTCAATTTAGGTTTGAGTAAGCAAATATAAACCCTATGAAGAATAACTAAGTTGAGTTTGGGCTGGACATTTTTATGCACAATTAAATTTGATCAGACACATTGCAGAATCACACCTAGTGTTTAAACAACTTGAAAAAGGATGAAAACTACCATTAGAGAAATTTACAAACTATTTGGACGGTATTATAGGCTATAGTCATGTAAAATTTATTGCTTAATTCAGGTCAGTAAATGCATTGCTCTTGCTCCAACTCATGTAACTTATCCATCAGGCCCTTAGTAATCGCCATGAAATTTATACTTTTTTGATCAATAGGCCATGAATTTTACATTTCTCTAATCAAAAGGTTGAACTTGGACAATTTCTTTAATGCATCTATCCATATTCACTTTAATAATCCTCACCCAAAAGGTGTTACACTAGAGTCCCTATGAAACTAGCTATCAAAGCAGGTGACTTGTCACATAAAAGATAGGTATATTTTCCATTTTGACAAGGAATATGATTCCACTTCCTACGGTTTTATATACAAGAAAAAGAATATGGAGGACACACAAAAACCATGAATTCCATGTATCTTTAAGGACACAAAGATACTAAAAGATCAAATCCAGTACAGGACATAACCTCTAATTATCACAGTAGAAAAAAAAGAACTATACGAATCATGAAGGACAAAAAATTGTCAGTGAAACCCCACAAACAAATCTTTCATCTACAATTGTACCACTTGCTTCCACAAGCAAACTCGGAAGTTCAAAATCCTTGCAACAACTTCTAGTTATCAAAGTAGAAAAAAACTTCTTCAGGTTTGCTTTTATCAACAGTGCCACACTCTCCTACAACCACTTCAAATCTTTACTTTCTTTCTGTTCACCGGGGAGAGCATATCTCCCCTCAGAAACGCACGATAAAACAAAGCTTAAGGCCATTGATCGAATGTATACCTTAGATGATTGCTCCAACAACAGAAATGGAAATCAGCACCTTTTGTTCAAAAATATACCTGCAAAGATGAAATCTGTCAGAAAAAAAGTTATAAGAGGCAAATGGGGCAGCAAAACATGGATTGGATTCCAGGATTTTGACATTTTAGAGATGGAAGAGGATTAGAGGAACGACTCAGAGAATAGAAACCCTAACCTGGAAGACTCTTGACTGGTGAGAGGTTTCTGACGGAATGAGCTTCTTATGATGCATGAAAAGGGCGGGAAATCGACAAACCTTAATTTACCAACCGTAGCCCTAGTTTTACAAGAATAAAGTCATTGTGGAAGGATATTTTTGTCATTTTGGACATGTTTTCTAGGGTCCAAGTTTTTGCTAATTTACGCGGGGGAGTCACTGAATTAGCCTACGCCCACCTGCAAAATTTTGCCTTGCCTTCGTCGCCATTTTTGTTGTTTTTTTGACAAATAACAGTGATTTTTTTAATTAGAATTAAATCTTCCAATTTTTTGACTCTCGTCTCCCACATCTGGTCCGTAGAAGCTCTCAACAATGGCGGTCAGAGCAACTGTTTCTCGATTTCCGATGGACACGGATGCTCAAGAGGCCGGAGGTGTGCCATGGGGAGTAACAGCCACGCCGTTCGCGACAACGGACGAGAATGGAAACCCTCCCGCTTATGGCCCTAATGGTCACCTTCTCCCTCGTTGTGAGAATTGTTGGGCTTACTTCAATACCTACTGTGAATTGGAGCAGTGGGCATGGACTTGTGTTCTCTGTGGAACCCTAAATGGTCTTTCTTCGGAGGCGATCTCTCGGTACTCTCATCCGCAATCTTGTCCGGAGATGACGTCGTCTTTCATTGATCTCGAGATGCCGGGTAATTCGGTTTGAGGGGTTTAATGTCGCTTTGAAAGCTTTAGATTTTTTGTTGCTCTTTTTGTCATCTGAGATCTGTTTTCGTCCCGGTATTGTAGTTGAGGGATCCGAAGGAGAAACAATGCAGGCTCGTCCGGTCTATGTTGCAGCAGTGGATTTGTCCTGTAAGATATGATTGGAAGTTTTTTGAATTTCATCTTCTTCTTGGTTGAATTTTATGCTAAATGGATTGATTTTCGAACCATCTTTCTTTCTTTAATGAAAATTTCAAGAATTTGTTTGACGTTGATTAAATTGAAACCTTCCGCTGATTTCCATTGGTCAAAAAGGAATTGTCATTGAATTTAGGCTACAGTTTGTATTATGAAGGTGGTTATGCGGTACGCAAGTCTCTTTGAATACAAGCATTAAAATGCTACTCTTTTTTGTTTCAGAATGGACTTCATATTTGACGTTATTGTAGTTGATGAGTTCTATTGTCCTCAAACCTCAAAGTAGAATTTAATTTGAAAAAAAAGGAGCTAAATGCTGCAGCAATGTTCAAGCTGGGTAGAAAGATCAAGTAACTTTTCATGGAATCATTTATAAAATAGGCATAGAGGGTCATCCAGCTAGAGTGAGACTTGAACCAACTCTAAGGAGCTCAGAAAGGCTCAATTTCAGTCATCCAAAATAAAAATCCCTTTCACCAACCAAATTGATGTCTTAAGTCTTAGGTATAATCTCACAGTCACCAAATTGGTAACTCAGCCATCAAACAACCAATTTTCTACATAAAATAAATAAATGAATCACATAACTTTATGAGCAACTGCATATACTTAATTGGTAAGTCCTCTTATTCTCCTTATTCCAATTTAACAAACGAAAGAAATCGAAGTAGCAATTAGACCATTAGGATGTTACTTTTCAGAGTGGTTACTAGCATACTATTCATTTGCATTCTCCACTCAGTTGACATGCTATCTTTCTAATTAGTAAATCTAACTCACACTTATGCCAGATCTCCAATCTATGAGCTTCCATGCTCTGTTGATGGTCCCCTCCCTCTCGAACTTTTACCCTTAATCATTCCTTAAATGTTATATTGAATATTCTTAACACTAGACCTGTTGAATGAATTTATTCTTCATAGCAGATATGACACTTTTAGTTGTATATTTTTATAACTTCAATCCATCTTATTTATTTATGGTTATATATTAGAAAGGATTCTATTGAGTTTTGAAGTATTAAATTTATATTGTTCTTTGGTAGCATATACTTGCTATTATTGAAAACTTGTTGGCTGATTTTTCTGATTTCTTTGGCAGCTTCTGAAGAGTTTCTGGAACTTACTAAAAGTGCTCTCCTAGCAGCACTGGAAGGTTAGTGCTTGGTAGGATGAGGATGATTAAATAGTTCTACTCAATTGTCCATGTCTTACGAAGGTTGAATTCTTTATTTCTTTTGGCAGCTCTTGGGCCAGGATCACTGTTTGGACTTGCTACATTCAGCCATAAAATAGGATTGTATGATGTGCAAGGGCCTATACCAGTTGTAAAGAACATTTTCATTCCCCCAGATTCAGATGGAACATTACCAATGGAGCTGGAAGATGTCATGCCCTTGTTATCCTTTCTGGCTCCTGTATGTTTTCTCCTAGTTGTTACTATTTCTACAGTCTGGTAGTTTCTTGGAACAGAAGCTCCCAATTTATCTACCTAAACAGTATTCTAGAAAGCATGCCAGGCCTTCCTTAAGATTCCTTGGACTAGGGCTCTAATTGGCCGGATTCGGATCAGATTCAACCACATCCAAATCCAGTTTGATTATTTAAAATGTAAATCCGAGTTCAAACTGGAATCTGATTGGATTCAGATTTAATCCGAGTCCACTTCATTGTTTTAAAATAAAGAACGAATTAAAATTATTTTCTATACTATATTATTTCAAGTTAGTGTTTTCATCACAATACTATCTTTTCTTTTTGTCTTCAATAAGCACCAAAATGCTAACTTAAAATTTATATTATGACAAAATTTATTGACGCATTTAATATTTTTAAGCATTTGGAAGCTTTATTTCATATTAAGGTTTTCTCTAATAGATATTGGGAGATCGAGGAATACCATTATTATTATTTGTAGGAGTCATCATATTATTATTAATTTCTTTTGTACTGCTTGGAAACAAAATTTATGATTCTATTTAATGATAAAAGAATAGTTGCTTTGTTTCTATTCTGGATTTTTTACTGAGGAAATTATATTAGATTCCTGAGCTTTAATAATTCTGGAACAGGTGGAAACTTGTAAGGACCGTATAGCAGCTGCCCTAGAAACACTAAAACCAACAACTTCCTGGGAAAGAACAACTGCTGCAGGACAAGGATTAGATGGCGTTTTGTTGGGTGGGAGAGGTTTTGGGGTAGCTATGGAAGCCCTGTTCAATTACCTTGGATCAGAATATGGAAATACATTTGCCTTAGGTGTGATAAATTCTATGCATATCATATTATATCTTTGTTTTGGGCTTGCATAAGTAAAGCCTGTTTATTGATACATTTGTGTTTTATTCTTATCTTCTATCAATGAAGAACATAATATATGAATGCATGCAGCTAGGGTCTTTGCCTTCATGTCCGGTCCTCCTGATTATGGAGCTGGACAGTTGGACACTAGAAGATATGGCGAGCAGTATGCTAGCAAAGGAGAGGACGCAGACCGTGCTTTACTTCCTGAGCAGACTCCTTTCTACAAAGATCTGGTATATTAGTCGTAGGGAAAAGTTTTATTGTGCTGAACTTTGTCTGTTTGGGTATATGAAATTCACTCTAGCAACAATTTTGCAGGCTGCTGTGGCTGTTCAATCAGGTGTTTGTGTGGATATATTTGCTGTGACAAATGAATATACAGACTTGGCATCTCTGAAGTTTCTTAGCATTGAAAGTGGTGGGTCATTATTTCTATATTCAAATACAGATGACTCAACACTTCCTCAGGACATGTAAGTTTCAGTAATGTTTTCCCTTCATTCCTCTGGGATTTCTTTTTCTTCCTTGCTAGCTGTATTAAAACTAGGGTGTATTTGGATTTGATGGCCACAAAACTATAGATGACAAATCTGTCAATCCCTGAATTATGCTCTTTGGACCCACTTTTCAGCATTATGGAGTTCAGGGAAACTAGGATTTTTAGTTTTTAAATTGTGTTTAAGAGAATTCAAAATGATATTTGGGGGTAGTCATTTTCATGTCTGTGAAATTGAGGAAGGGGAGTAAAATCCAATTCTGCTTCTCTAATCACAATAGCCTTTTCAGTTCTCGGAAAGAGCGATAGATCTATAAGTTATTCATTTGAGCGCAAAACAGATTATGACTAAGTTACCAATTTTCATTTGTAAAACTTCTATCTTCTTTATGTTCATTTTTGAAGCATAGTTGCCTCCTTGGTCTGGATTCTGTTCTTATTTGTAATCTACAATTCTTTAATGACCAGGTTCCTAGGGGTAGGCTTCTATTTTGACTCTATAAATTATTGTTTTAGATCTCTTGTGCATGGATTTCTCCCAGTACGGAGATGAGCAAGTATTATTGTCTACCATGTTTTTCATGGTTTAGATGCATAACTGGGTATTTTGAATTGTTTATCCAAAAAAAAAAAAAGAAAACACTAGCTGTTTTGCATTTTTTAAAGGATTTGGTTGGTTTGGTGCTCAAGGAAACATTTTATTACTTTCTTATTTTTAGGTTTTCAGTTTGTTTCTCTTTCCCTAAGAGAACCTTTCTCTAATACATCTACTTTGATTTGTATTTCTGACTTTGAGACACCTTATTTATTAGGCCATTTTCTGTTGTTCCATTTATTGCAAACTGACTTGCAAATTCACAAATTTAACTAATTTACCAATCAGAATGTTGGCTATTACTATGGTTTTAGGTGGTTCTTCAGTTTATTTTTATTGTGTTGTTGCAAACATGAAAAGAAATTGTATTTTTATCCAATCAGTGTTTGATTGTGAGATGATTCCTATTTCAGGTATCGGATGTTGAGTCGTCCGTATGCATTTGGTTGCATTCTTCGCTTGAGGACTTCTTCTGAATTTAAACTTGGTCGATCTGTATGTGAAGTTACATGATGTTTGAACTTCAATTTCTCTACTTTAATGTGTAAATTATTTTTGCAAGATTAATGATTCATTGTTTTAGCTGCATTTTTTTCCTGTGCAGTATGGCCATTTCTTCCCTGATCCACAGTATGAAAACGTTCAACACATTATCTGTTGTGATTCTTATGCTACATATGCTTATGACTTCAACTTTGCCAATAATTCTCAATTTTCAAGGTATTACTCTGTTCTTGTAGAGAAATACATAGACATAAACTGCTATGCCTGTTCTTTCTCTCTCTCTAGTATGATAGCAAAAGTTTACAAGGAAGTTGAAAGAAAAAACCAAAATCCCTGCACTAGGGAGTGCAAAAAGGTGGTACAAATCATCCCTTAATGCTCAATTAGCAAGGGAAGCCACCAAGCCATGATTGATCAAAAAATAAAAAAAGCCACCAAGTCATGGGCAAGAATCATGCCAATTGATGTTACTCAGTGATATGAAGGTGATGCCAAGGTTTTTTTGTTAGATTAACTTGTAGCAATTTCTGAATCCCCTTGAAGAGGTTTAGGTGAGATGACTATAGGCTTTCAGGAGGAACAATGGTCTTAGCCTGCCTAAATGCACCCTTATCAATGTGCTCTGAGATGCCAATAAGACATTCTACAGCGGTGTAAACACCTCCAGGCTCCAGTTCTAAGAATCTCCAGCTTCCTGATGGAACATAATTGAGTTTGAACATCCTCACCATTGCGGGGAGGGATGTGTTGCACCCAGTTTACATACATATTGGAGGAGAGGGACCAATACAATCTCAAGAGTTGAGAACCATAGTAGAACATTGCCAATCCTAATTGATGCCTTGATGATGTGTCCTTTGGTCAATTTTCCTAAAAATGGATATTGTCATAAGGGTCAGTGCTGAGATTCTGAGCCTTCTCTTTGAGTTGTACTAGTAACCACAAAAAAAAAAAAAAAAAAAAAAAATCTATTGACCATAGTTGTCAAGCCGACGCCTAGGCGTGCACCCTTGGAGGCCCGCCTCACCAGTCGCCAAGCAGTTTTGTATACTGTCATATAAAATACTTTTATATTGTTATTTTTTTGAGATTATAATTATAAAATAGACATTATTACAAAAATGTTCATTTTTTGTGTTTATAAACTAATTTCTTTTTATTATTTTCTTATTTGTTAGGGTTTAATCAACACAAACATTGCTAACTGCTGTATTGAACCCTCAAAGACTTCAAAATCTAAACCAATAAGTAAGGGAGGAACTTAAAATTTTGTCTAATCAACACATTTCTTCCACATCTTCTTCTTCTGCCTTTTCTTTTCTTCTTTTCCTATAACAAAAATAGAGGTTCAGCCCCTATATTTTTTTAATATTCTTTTATTTCTTCTCATAAATATGTTGTTTTTCTAGACTTAAGCATGAAGCTTAAATTTTTCTTATGAAAATTATGGATAGTTATTAAGGAAAGATGGTTATGGAACCTAGGGAACTATCCTAGGATATGTGGTTTTTACTTAAAAAATCTATTGCCTAGGTGACAAGGTGCCCCCCTGTCGCCTAGCCTCGCCTTGGCGCCTTGAAAACTATGCTATTGACTCCTTCCCAAATACCGGATAAGACTTCCAAACATCTTAATCAAAAGACTCTCTCTTCAGTCCTTGGGCCCTGGGATATACTCTTATTGAGCTCCAAAGTATGATTAGAAACAACCAAAGAAATGCCAAAGTTCAAAGTGATTTCAGTGTAAGAAGTCATTTCTTAGTAGACCAATAAGTGTTGGCATTTCTCTGATTCTCTCATGACTTTTGTACATCATGCTAGTGTAAGTGGAGAAGATTTTGGAGTTCCCTATTCCTTTTCCGAACTGATCACAAACTGTTAATTTTCTTTTCCTTTTTAATCTTATTTTATTGAACAGTAAATACAAGATGATACATGATTAACTTACAAAAACCATTAAATGAACTATATGATGTTATGATAGATTGCTTACAGTCCTAAAAGCCCAAGATATGCTATCTTTTCATTTTTTTGACCGGCAACACAAAAAATTGATTCATTAGATTAAAAAATAGAGATACAACAAAGAGTTGTGGGTATTTATAAAAAAAAAAACAAAGAGTTGTGGGCACAAAACAAAGCCCAAACAGAAACTATTCACTATTTACAGAACTGCCCAGAACATAGATTGTTTTTGAGTTTCTTGCTTTGCTAGATCATCAGCCAAACTGTTTGCAGATCTCCTTATCCACCTTATTTCGATCATCATGTCTTTAGAAATCTGCTTGAATCTCTTGAATTCATTCCTTAACTTCCATATGATTTCTTCCCCCCTTTTCAGCCAACCCACAACTACTTTTGAATCACCTTCAATAATCAGCTTAGTAATCCCCATTTCTTTAGCTTTCTCTACTCCATAGGCGGTTGCCAATAATTCTGATCTTACCACATCTCCATGCTGAATAGGACCTGAGTACAGAGCTAGAATGTTTCCATTTTCTTCCCTAATTACCCCATCAATACCCAAATGGTCCAGGATTTCCCATACCGTCAAAGTTTAATTTCTTCCACCCAACACATGGAGGAGCAGTGATTTAAAAGGCGCGCCTCGATGGGTGTGGTACAAAGGTGACTCATAGAATCAAGAATGAAATATGTTTTACATCACATTAGCTACTGGAAGTAATGCAATTGAGGAAAAAAAAAAGAGATTGTGGATTTTACATGCTTGAAAATGCTTTATATGTTTGCTTTTATTTTTAAATTTTCATTTAAATACGCTTTACATGTTATGTTTATGTATTTTAATTTTAGATAATAGGTTTTTTAAAACATTTATTTTAAAATTTAAGTTTATATTTTTTATTAACATTATGTTTAATATTTTTTTGAATTTTTTTTGGTATTTTTGAATTTTCTGACTTTTTTTATTTTTAGCTTTTTTTTTTTTATTTTGTAGTTTTGTGCCTTACTTCAAAAAGGTGCGTGCCTCGTCTTGTGCCTTGCGCTTCAGGCGCAAATTGGGTTGCGCTTTTAAAACACTGTGGAGGAGACCAAGCCTCATAAACTATTCGTCTTCTAGACGAAGAACCTGCAATTATTCCCCACGATCTGAAGAAGTCTTCAACCTTAAAGTCGGCAAAAAGCTTTAATGTACTCACCCAATGCACTACTCTTAGAGTAATCACCTCAATCACAACTTATTTACTTTCCTTGTCTTCAAAGATTCTTAGGTTCCTTTCCTCCCAAATTGTCCAGATCACTGCTGCTCTAGTGCATCTCCACATAATCCTGCCTCTTCTTTTAGGGCAGCTGAAAAGTGAGAGCTAAATACACCTTCCAGACAATCAGGGGGAACTGCATCCAAAAAGAGATGAAAACCACTCCCAAATAGACATAGCAAAAGGACAGGAGATCAAAAGATGAAAGGCAATCTCACCATACAACTTACATAAAAAGCACCAACTTGGGGACAAGCACCAATTTGGTCTTTTCTTCTGAAGCAAATCACAGGTGTTAATGGAGCCATGAAACACTTCCCAACAATTGGAGGGATGGATCGAGACCATATCTCCTTAATAGGGAAATAAGGAGAGGGGAAGGTTGAGATAAGAGAATTCAAAAAGGACTTACAGGAAAAAGAACCGACTGTTTAAGGGCCCACACTCTAGAATCTGAATCACCCTCCCCTGAAAATACTGAACTCAACAGAAGAAGCAAAGCTGAGACATTGGCAATTTCAGATTCTCTCAGATTTCTAGTGAAGCCAAGGTTCCAACTCAGGTTTGAAAGAGATGAGGAAGAACTGATAAAATCACAAATAGGTTTACCTTTGAAACTAGAGTGCTCAAAGAGAGAAGGAAAAACCTCTGAAAGGGGGGCTTTCCCTACCTAAATATCCTCCCAAAATCTAATTCTCTGACCCAAAGCCAAATCATACCTTATGTGATTGAGGAACACAGGAAGATTGTCATGGATAGCCTTCCAAGGAGCAGCCAGAGTAGCTCTATGTAAGTAGCCCGCATCCCAACCATTGTTTGACAGCCCATGGATACTTGAAATAACTCTAGTCCATAGCCTCTCATTTTCTTTAGGAAATCTCCAAAGCCATTTACTCAACAAGGTCGAATTCTTCAACTTAACATTTCCAATGCCCAGACCCCCTTCAACCTTCAATTGCATCACCTTATCCCATCTAACCAAATTATCTTTCTTCCCTTCRACCTTCAATTTTTCATTTACTTTTATTTTATGGATGTCTATTCCAGACCTGCAAACAATGCTTTGCTGAGTATCAAGGCTTTGTTGATCAAAATAATTTTTTTCATGATAATTGCTTTTACTGATTGCTCATTGGTGAAGCAGTAAAAATTCTTGGTGTATTATAGGCACAAAAACAAATTTCCTAAATCCTTACAAGGATCCATGCGAATTTCTTGGTGTATTATAGTTAAAATTGGTCTTTTCTCCTTTCTTCTTTCTTTCTTTCTTTCTTTCTTTCTTTCTTTCTTGTTTTTTGGTTGAAAATAAAGCTTTGCCATTATTGATCATTATTTACCATCTCTGCAATACAATCTAACACAATTTTTGCCATTAATTTTTTATAAGTAACAATAAATGAGATTTTATTAAAGTAAGTAAGGTTTTTCCCTACCTTCCAAGAATATGGTCAGCAGGATATAAAGATGCAGCATTATGCTTACCAGATCTCACTACAACATTCTTTACAAATCCCCTGGTCCAGGTGCATTCCACAAGAGACTATCCCCTGTGATCTTGCTAGAAATTCACATAACTGTTTGCTACTGTAGGCATCCACATGAATAAGCAATTCAAGGTAGTAACATAAGCTTTTTTTCTAACTGGAGACCTTAGTGTCCAAGGTACTTTCCCCTAAAATCAACCAATTTATATCCACTTGGCAGTTTCCTTTGACTTGTAATTCTGTCCAGCTAGCTGTTAAAGCAAATTTTAATCCTTGCAGTTGAGATAACAGCCCTGCTTTTAGAGATTACCAACACCATCTGGTCCTGAGAAATTTAGTAAGATATTTCCCTTGTTATGTTTGACAACTTTTCCAATACTTGAGAGAATACAAAAGGAAGGTGATAAGAAATCACCCGAGAGAGATAAAAGGACACTAGAACAAACTTACAACCAACGACACCAAACTAATGACAACCAGCAAGACAAAGACCCACAAGCACCATTTCTGAACCCCACCACCCCCCTCTACGAGCTCTAAAACCCCGCAAGAACCAGTCAACCAACTCCTAATGGATCGAATCCTCCCCTTTGAATACTTCCTCTTGTCCATCAATATCCTGATCCCACATCTCTCCTCCCTCCCTAATTACCTCTCTCTTCAAGCTTTCTTCCCTTCTCTCAAATTCCTAAAAGGCCTTCCTGGAAAACTCCTCCCTCCCCAAAAGAACAAGCTAAGGCTTTTGCCTATCTCAACTTTTTCTTTCAGCAATTTTCTCAATAGGAAGCTTTCCAGACCTCTCCATTTAAGCATCTTCCCTACCATTTGGAATTCTCGCTTCAGAGCTGGAGTTGATTCCATTGATTTTTCAAGCTGAAGGTTACCCATCCGTGATTCTGAACTATTACTAACCTGAAAGTCCACACCTCTAGTAACTCTGAATGTGGTCACTGTTGTCTCCCCCCTCTCCTCTTGTAAACCTTTTTCTAGGTCCTGCCCTCACCAAACCAATTTCCAGCGAGAAGAGATATTGTTAATATGAACAATGTTTCAACTCCTTGCTCCATGAGATTTCTTGGGAGCTACCTCTTTTGTTGTGACCACATCATTCTTTGCCGCCCTCTTCCTACCTAAGTCCACCCCTACCTTTCCAATCACCATTTCCTCAAAAAGACTATAAATGGCATCCGAGCACTCTAATTGGGTAGATTTGCGGGCAGTTGCATCGTTATCCTCATTTGCTCCATTATCTGCTCCTAAAACTTTTCCAAATTTAGCATCATCAACCCTTACCGCATCTCCCTTCCTCCTCTCTTCCGACCTATCCTTTGCTCCATTACGAATCTCCCTGGGATCACAAGCCAAAAATTCCTCCTTAGAAGAGAAAACAACCTACTTCGATACAACATCAGTCTTCTTCTAGCTCACCATGCTAGAAATCAAATCAGCATCAAACTTGTTAAGATTGCAGCAGCCTGGGACACAATCTTCAAAAACACCTCTTCGATCAACTTCACGTTCCATATTCTCCGCCTCAGACTTCCCAATGCCCTTCTCCTTCTCACTTTTGTCATATCTGAAGATCACCCACTCCCATTCTTCTTCCTTCCCCTCTTGTACCTTCCTCGAGAAAAAAAGATTTCAAGCTCCTACATTTTTTACTTTTGGGTGTTTGCAAATAGATGCCTTCCTCTTATCTACTCTTAAATGATATGAACTAATGCACTTCTTTCTAACAAAAGACTTGGGCTTCGTGATATGGGCCCCACTTGGCCCTAATACCAACTTCCCAATCCGAAACGTCTTAATGTTCAAATATGGAGACTCTTCCTCTCCTCTATCTAAACCCAAGTTCTTCTTCTCTTGGCCTTCCACATGTCCCTCAATAACTCCCTCCTTCCCATTGACCTCCCTATCACTAAGGCAAGCAAGCAAARCCGATCCTCTTTATTCGAAATTGAGTGGACCCCACATCCATTTTTTGGGGGTCCTACACTCCATTTTCAATGTGCCCCACATTTGCCAAATCATCCTTACAACCATTATTTTTTTCTTTAATGCCAAAACTACCCTCATCTTCAACCTCCGTCTCTTCCTCTCCAGTTTGCCTGTTTGTCTTCCCTTCCAACACAGTAGAAGGCAGTGGACTCTTGCTACTTACCTCCCTCCAACAAGACAAGTTATTAATCCATCTTAGTGGATATGAACCTTCGACCACTAACCCTAGGTTGAAGTTCTCTCTAGCAAAACAAAGGGATAATGATGTGGGCACCGAATGAATCTCTGCAACTTCGGCTAAAATATATTGATCCAAAAAAAAAAAAAAACTTCAACTAAAATACGATATGAGCAACAAGAAGGTTTCACCAAGAACTTGTTCTTGAATCCACGAACCTGAACCTTCCACACACATCTCCCATGGCTTTAAAAAAGTTTGTAAGCACCATGATGCAGAGGAATTCCATATATGTTTAACACACCAAGCTTGAGAGGCCTATATTTAAAAGTTCCGCAACAGCCCATCTCCCCACAGCTTCTGCGTCAGGATCAAAATTAACAAAATGCCCCACCAAACTTCTCTCCAACAGTTTGAGATGTTCGTTGATAGCTCCTAGCGAATCCACAAGCACCTCCATCTTACTAGTTCACACTTCTCTCCAACTTCTCTCTCTCTCTCTAAAAACTAGTGAAGGGTTTGGATTTGGTGTATACCAAGATACAACATACTTGGGTCAATTTCAGTACTGCAGAGTTGTGGAATGAATGTCACTAAAGGCTTTTTATCAGGTTTTCAAGGGCTATGGGGTGCTAGATCTAGAAAACTTTATAGAAATTAGGAGAGAGAAAGAGAGAATCCATCAATCATTCAATGGGTACCAAGAATTACACGAGTGGCCCAACTAAAAGAACTACCAGGCCCTCACTTGCAGTGGTCAAACTGACCAAATACTCCTGGGACCAGATTCAGCCCAATTCACCTGAATATCCATCCTGTCAAATCAGTGTATGGAATTTTTCCTCTGAAAATATGTTTTTGGAGGGTTGAAATGCTCTGTAATCTTCCTAGGAAAAGAGAAAAACTATCAGGTTACTCAGCTTCTTGCTGAATATAGGAAAACTATCCTATTCTTTGTGGTTGCTGATAAAAAAAATATATTGGAAAGTTATCAAAACAAATAAATTTTATGTATGGTAGATTTAAGTTCCAAATACAAAACTGATTTCCAATGTTATTTCTCATTCTTATGTTACTACCACTCGTATTTGCTGTTGTCTGTTTCCTTGTTTGGATCAATGATTTGCTTGTTCTCGTTCATATTAACTGCTTCTGTCTCAACTGTATGTCAGCTGCTTAATATACATGATACAAATTCAAATTCTGCTTAGATGCTCTAGTTGAGACATCCTGTGATACATAGATACCTGTACAAGAGTGCTATATGGTGTCAAATACTTTAATTTTTAGTGGAAATTCCATATCTGATATATTTTCCAGCTATGTCCTTGCCATATCTGGGGTAAATAGGAAAATCTGATTAAATGCTTTTGCAGACACACATCGGACCTTCCTACACTACAAATTGCTTTTCAGTATACTGTTGTTGTCCCACCAGAAGAGCTTGCAAATTTGGAAGTGAATTCTGCAAGTAGGTATGGCTAGTCCAACCAAATAACTGAAAAGTGCCTTTACATTCTTCCTTTCTTGATCTGAWAGATTTTCTGCTCATCCTCTATATATTTTTTATCAATCTCTGCTCATCCTCTTTTCTATGATTAATAGCAGTATATCATCAAAAGGATCAGTTACCTTTTTTTCCTGATCTTGATCAGAAATTTATTAATAAAGAATAAGAAACACAAAATAGTACAAGAGAGAATGAGGGGCCACAAGTTCTTCCTACATGAATAAGCATAATAGCTAGGCCACTACCACTTTTCTCTGAGATGCAAGTATTACCCTAGAGTATGAAAACTCTCTAGGGTTTCAACCCAGCCAGCATAAAGAGAAAGAGAAGGAAATTGTTGCATTGGGCCAAAATGAAAAGAAAAATATGAGAAAATACTACCTTCAGTAATGATATAGAGTCTACTCTATGTGCAGTGCCTTTGTTCGCATTCCCCCTCAAATGGAGGGTTGATGRCAACATTAGTTTGTCCACAAGGAAGTCATGATGGGCCCAAGTCATATCTTAGGTGAATATATCAACTAATTGAATATTAGAAATTATGTGAGGGAAGCCAATCGTGTTGGCATGATATTGGTCCAAAATAAAGTGACAATCAACTTTGATATGTTTACTGCATTGATCGAAGACTTGGTTATTTGAAGCAATACAAATCACAATCATGGGACAGGGTTCAGGAGAGTTGTGGGATCTAGGGTTCAGGAGAGGGTTGAGGGAGTCGGATATAGGGTTGGCAGATGATCTTTTCTCTCCTCTAAACTCGGTGTTTTTGGACCAATCTTGTCCTGATAATAGGATTTGGTTTGAAGAGTCCTCTGGTTGTTTTTCTTGCTCTTCTTTCTTCAATGCTTTAGTGCACTCTTCCAATTTAGTTTACTCTTTTCCTGTAAAAGAAGTGTGGAGTGCTCCTGTACCTCCAAAGGTGAGGGCTTTCTGTTGGGAAGTGGTTCTCCAAAAAACCAACACTTGGGACTTGCTTCAGAAAAAAAGACCGAATTGGTTATTATCCCCTCATGTTTGTAGCCTTTGCTTGAAGAGTGGTGAGATAGTAAATCATCTACTCTTCTCTTGTCCTTTTGTTACTCTTATTTGGGATYGGTTCTCCTCTCTCTTTGGGTGCATGTGTGTTCCTCCTACAAGCGTGGTGGATCTTTTTGAATCTAGCTCCGTTAGCCAAAGAAAAGAGGAAGGGCGATGTGGAGAACAACGAGGGCAGCAGTTGTTTGGGCAGTGTAGGAAGAGAGAAATAACAGAATCTTTTAAGGAAAAGAAAAATCAGCACATGAAGCCATAGAAGGGATCACCATCAAGGTTATACATTGACTGAAATCGCTGGACTTGTTCAAGGACTTCTCTGTAGATGACTTGATTAGAGGATGGAGAACAGTAGCAGCTTCTTCATGCCCCTCTTTAGCTATTCAAGAGGACTGGTCGCCCCTTTTATCTGTGGCTGTTAAGCTATACTTTGATGGCAGCTCTGTAGGTAATCCGGGCCCCTCTGGAATTGGGGGTGTCTTTAGAGATGAGGGAGGAAAAGTCCTAGCCCTTTACTCTGGCCCGATAGGCTTGGGGGACTCTCTTAGAGCAAAAGTTCTGGCACTCCTACAGGGGCCCAAATTGGCCAAACAGTTGGGTTTTCAGCAGTTGGAAGTGGGGGGAGATTTGAGACTAGTAATAGGTTGGATGCAAACAAACAGCTTAGGTGCCTGGTCCCTTAGACAACCTGTAAGGGAGATTATGCAACTAACAAGGGAGCTGGAAGTCTGGTTTAAATGGACTAGGAGATCAGCCAATGCAATGGCTGATACTTTTAGCAAAGCAAGGAGTTGGTAGGCAGGACCTTTTTTGGGCCTGTTTGTAATTTTGATGAGGGGTCGCCTTGTTTTTGAAGGTGACAGTTTGTACCAAGTTTTAAAGAATTAATGAAAGTTACCGTTTCCCATAAAAAAAAAAAATACAAATCACACTCATTTTATCAACATAGAGAGGTGTTGGGTTAGAGATCATAACACCTAACTCATGAAGAAGGCCATGCATCCAAATAATTTCACTGCAAGTTAATGACATAGCCTGATGCTCTACTTCAGTACATGAGCTGGAAACATTAAGTTAGTTTTTGCATTTCCAAGAGAGAAGGGGATTGTCAAGAATACACCATCCAGTAGTGAGTATATCGGCCACCAGCACAATCAACATTGGCATAGGCTCTCAGTTGGATGGGAGGGGAAGAGGGAAAGAACAATCATCTAGAAATTATGCCCCATAGATAGCTAATGATCTGATAAACAACAGCAAGACAGCAATGTCTAGGGGCAGATACAAATTGGCTCACTGCATGAGTAATGTCAAGCCTGGTAATGGGAAGTGTAAGTACATGTTGTTCACTACAACTGCGATTGGTGTGAAGGTACCAAGCCGGAACCACAGAAACACCCATGGCGACACACAGGCTGACGTGGGTCTGCGGCGAATTTCAAGCCCAAAATGTTACAACTTGGTAGTGGGAGTGTCATTCCTTACTTTCAAGCCCAAAACGTTACAACTAGCAATTTCAAATCACATGGAAGCCCAAAAAAGTTGACGTCTCAAAGCCCCTTTTTTTGGCTTAGGAGTCGGCTAACCTATTTGCACTCCTTATCCATTAAGTGAGCAGGTTTGACCAAGTCTAGTGCGTTTCCACTGTTCACAAAATGTCCATGGGACGAAACCTCTACCTTCTACCCTGGGAAATGAATCAATGGCTCAAGTTCTTTCATTTTAAATGTCCATTGGAGAAGATATTTGAGTTGGACAAGATCAATGTTGGACTCTTCAATCTGTCCCCTTGAATTTCAGAAAGTGTGGTTTGATTGATGGGTTAAATGGTGTCCAAAAAAACCCATAAAATTCAGGGACTATCTAATAAAATATTCTACTGAAACAAGGTAAAAAAGAAGAGGTCTAATCTCCTACCAAAGCCTCATTGTCTGAACTGAACATGAATTCCTCTTGAGAGAGAGAAATGGTGTTGAACAGTCCTTGAAGCCAAATAGTCTCAATCCACTGACTGAAATGTCTTCAGCAACATTCATAAAAAAAAATGTCTTCAACAACCTCTCTTTGTTATGGTCCATAACACTCTTCAACTAGTTTCTGATACCATATTACCCTAGAGAGATCAAACTTTCTAGGGTTTTAACCAGGCAACTTAAAGAAAGCAAAGGAAATAAAAAGGGTCTTTCTAGTATGCCAACCTCACCAACCAAAGGATCTAAAATATTATTAGAAGAGTTGATATGTATAATTACAACGTTGCCCTTTTGGGCCRAATTAAAAGAAATATATGAGAATCAATTGATGCAATACTACTGTCCTAATATAATAGTGTAGGACTTTACTCTAAGTACAGTCCCTTTCTTCATAACAAGATCCCTGCAAAACATTTTTTTTTATAGGAAACAAACTGTATTATCTAAATAAAACAACACAAGGTCAAAAGAAGGCAAGGGGAAAAAGTATAAAATGACCCTCTCCCTCTTACCCAACAGAGGCCTAAAAGCCACAAATTTACAAATGCCCCCAAGACTGAAGAAAAAGTAAAGACAGAGCATCCTAACCACCTTGGAACCCAAACTTATCTCAAAAACTATACCAAAAAAAATCCCCAACATCAAAATCATTCCACTCAGAATTCTTCAAATATTATACCTTCTTATGCTTCTCCAAGCCCTCCCACATAAAGGGCATGAGGCTACCACAAATGTGGGGTCTGGGTAGGGACTGAGGGACAGATGTACACAGCCTTACCCCTGTAGATAACTGATTCCAAAAATGATGAAACTAGGAACATTCATTGAAAAAAAAAAAGATGAAACTAGGAACTATTTATGCTCTCTTTATGCTCTCCTTATTGGTTGATTCAACCAATTAATCCCAAGAAGTTGCATTTATATCTTTCTCACCAGTTTTGATTACGCCTTTGCTAATAACTTCCCCATCCATTGATTACCCCAGAAAATCCTCATTAGCTATGACCTCCTCTGGTTTGTGGTTGTCTCTAAATTCACCCCCAAAAAGAACGACCCAAACTTTTGGTTAAGGGAGATTGTTTTGGCTAGAATCTCAGAGCTTTCCATCTCAACATCTACCATTCTGAACCTATCCAGTTCATTCTCCTCACATTCTGTCAAACCTTGATGGAGATCCTGGGCCTCTGTTATTGTTTGAGAATAAAAGCCTATTCAAGGACCTCACCTAACAGCTTAAGCTTTTGGGTTGAATGATCTTTGARATGGTATCAGAGCCTATTTGACCAAGTGGTCTAGTGTTTGATCCTCACACTCATTATAATTAATTAAATTTCAACATAAGGTATGGGTGGGCATGTGCTTGCTCATGCTTCAAGACAAATAGGCTTTCATGTGAAGGTACATGTTAGAGAATAAAAACCTATTCAGGGACCTACCTAACAGCTTAAGCTTTTAGGTTGAACCGTTTTTTGACAGTTATCACAAGTTGGACTTTCCCACAATCCCCTAACCAACATAACAAGCCTCCTGTCTCCTCAGCCCCTTTCTCTGCCCCTTCTGTTATAGAAAAATCCCACCTCCCATATACCAATTCAACCTCCATCTGAAAAGGCCCTCAGGTATTTGCACAGACCAAACAATCTAGTTTTCATTGCACTCTTCATTTCATCCGGAATGGAGATCAAAATTGGCAAGCAGTTAGTAACTTATTTTTTGATCCTTTAGCCTCAATGTGTTAGTAGGCTTCATGGACTCTCATTCTTTATCTGTAGATGATTCCTAGTCCTGCTGGAAGCATAATCACTGTGGAAATTCCTATATGAAAGATTATTACTTTAAGGAAAAGATCATGATTTATGTGCATTGTGCAAACATAATTTATTTTTTCCTAGCTTTCTAGCTGTTAAAATAATTTAGTTGCTGATGTTAGGGTCTGTTTGGCTAATTAAAGTGTTTTTTATTTCTGTTATGTCTGTTATTGTACTCAGGGGCACAAGGGTCTTTTCCCTTGTTATTTCTGCCGCCCTATATATATTAAAATAAAGGCTGGCGCCGCCAGCACTGTTACATTGCAAAACCCTTCTTTCTTCYYTCCTCTCTTCTCTTCTCTTCTTCTCCTCTTCTCTTCTCTTCTCTTCCTCTTATTTCTGGCCGGCCATACTGTCAAGATGGTATCAGAGCGGGAATACTGATTAAAGAGAGCAGATCGAACAACCTTACTAAGAGAAACTTGAAAGTGGAGAAGTGTGTACACCATATGTCAGCTCAGAAGAACAGCTTGCAGATATCTTCACCAAAGGTCTTCATCATGCGCGGCACAAAGATTTGTGTGACAAGTTGGGCATGATTGACATCTATGCTCCAACTTGAGGGGGAGTGTTAAAATAATTTAGTTGCTGATGTTATGGTCTGTTTGGCTAATTAAAGTGTTTTTTCTTTCTGTTATGTCTGTTATTGTACTCAGGGGCACAAGGGTCTTTTCCCTTGTTATTTCTGCCGCCCTATATATATTAAAATAAAGGCTGGCGCTGCCAGCACTGTTACATTGCAAAACCCTTCTTTCTTCTCTCCTCTCTTCTCTTCTCTTCTTCTCCTCTTCTCTTCTCTTCTCTTCTCTTCCTCTTATTTCTGGCCGGCCATACTGTCAAGACTAGCATTTGATGTTTTCATTTCTGTAAAATGCTTACTGCATTTCTAGTTTGATTTTATCATAATTATGAAGTAATTGCACAGTTCTGCTATCATCTTAACCTTTCGCTCCCCCCGGCCACCCAGTACAAATTTTTACTAGGTTTTCTCTCAAGGCTAAATGTACAAACTTATTAAAATATTACTTTAACAGCTTTTATGTTTAACAACATGATTTGCTCTATATAGATCTAAGCATATCCTCAAACGTCGATTGAGGATACGAACTGTACAATATTCAACTGCTGGAAACATCAATGAACTTTATGACAGTGTTGATCCTGAGGTTGTTCTGTCAATCCTTGTTCATAAGGTAAACTTCTTTCAGTTAATTTTTCTTACTCTATGGTAATGAAAGTATTCACTGCTCTTGAGTAATGAATAGCACTAATAATTCGGTTATTTTTTACCTTTTACTTTGGTAAATCTAATCTGTTACTGATTTTTTTGGATAGATATCTGTTACTGGTTATTTTGATCAATAACAAAACAAGCAAATTTATTAGTTACAGAAAAGAATGCAGAGGAAAATACAAATAAGACAGGTACAATCCCCAATTACCTATCAGGAAAAAAAAGAAAACTCCTGATTAGAAATCAAGGCTAGCCCCAATTTACCTGATACCAGAATATCTTACATTGTAACTGTATCTACAATTGCTGGATTCACAGAACATTCAAGATCTACTTATATCCTCCCTAGACAGAGTATCGGATATGGAATTTTCTGATCTTTGAACCCAATGAAAGCAGGCATGCTATTGGCCAAAGATCTGGCTATCCTGATGCAATGTCTATGTTTGCCAAGGACCCAGCTAACTTACTGGCTCTGCTCTTCTACCTTCATATTTCTGTACGCTGGGTGTGAGAATCCCAATCTTAACCTTTGGAGCATTGATAAGTGTTCGGCCTGATAGAGTCACCATAGCCTAATGGGAACTGAGTATAACATCACAATATGGCTAAACTTATTTATAGGAACTCTACCATGCCTTTACTATCACTTTCTTTAAGTCATGTTGGGGTATTATCAAAAAGATATTATAATGTTTAAGAAGCTTTGGAAAGAAAATAAGAGTGGGAGGGAAGGTGTTATTTACAAACTTGATATTGAGAAGGCATATGGCATGTTGAATGGGGTTTTCTAGAAGTACTTGAAAGAATAGGTTTGGGGGACAAATGGAGAAGTTGGATTTACGCTTGCATATCTTCAATATCATTCTCAATGTTGGTCAATGGGGTCTCAACAGAATTCTTTCAAGCCTCAAGAGGTATAAGGCAAGGAGATCCATTCTCACCTTTACTCTTTGTTTTGGTGGCAGAAGTTTTGGGTAGAATGATAATAAGAGAAGTAAAAGTAGAAGGTTTCACAGTTGGAAGAGGAGACATTTCTATTTCACAGTAAAATTAGAAGGTTTCACAGTTTTGAGTAGAATGATAATTTAAGAGTGATGAATAATGCTTTGTTGGGGAAGTGCTTTTGGAGGTTTGGGGGGGGGGGTGGAGGGGGCATTATGGAGGATAATAGTAAGTAATTGTGGGGTGATTCAGTTTGAATGAGATACAAGAGAAGTTTCTGCAATACATGGGTTGTGTTTTGAAGGGTATCATTAAGTTCATCAGGTTTTTGTGAATAGCAGAAAATTCAAAGTGGGGGAGGGGGTAGAGTGTGAATTTGGGAAGTTGAATGGTGTGAAGTAGGGTTGTGAAACCAAGATTATATTGCCTAAGTGAGAAGAACATAACTGTCTTAAGAGTGTTTTGAAGTGATAGGCTGATGATTTGGAGTCCTACTTATGCCCACCGTTGGAAAGAGAGATAGAGGAATGAATGAAGTTATTTAGAAGATTGGAAGAGTCTGATGTATGACCAGCATTACTGGATGCTAGATGGTACAGTCAAATCATTTCATGAGGTTCTAATCAGAAATCAAATTGAATTCTCTGAGAATCAGCCATTCATCTTTTCAGCAATTAGATCACCTGAACAGTAGGGGTTTTTGGCAAGCCCGTGCGTTATGCTAGGGGTGTCAATTGGACTGGATTTGGTCCAATCCGATCCAGTCCAATGTGAGTCCATTACAAATAGACCAGGTCCAATCCAATCCAATGAATATTTTGGACTATTTTGGATTGGTCCAATTCAATGTCTGGACCATCCAATCTGTTCAAGTTTGTTTTAATTTAGATTAGTTCTAACCCGAACCTGATCCATTGACACCTATATTCTTATCTTCTATTAATGGACCAGATATTGGCTCAATCCAACCCAATCCAATATAAACTCATTATGGATGGAACAGGTCCAACCCAATCCAATAAATACTTTGGACCATTAAGTCTGGACTGGTCCAATTCAATGTCTTGTTGGTCCGTCCAAATTGATTTTGGTTTGGACGGGATCCAATCCAAAACCGGTCAATTGACCCTAGTTATGCATGGTGATCATGAAGAATCAATCATTAATCTTTTCAGTAAGTGTAGCTTAGCAGATTTTGTTTGGAGATTCTTTCAGGGTTAGTTGAAAGACAGACATGAGCCAGCATTCTCAAAAGTGTTTTTTTTTTTATCAATAACAGTAATTTTATTAAAAATATATGGAAATTACAACCAGGTTGGAGGGGTAAGACATCTTAACCCTCACTTACAGAACTGAAAACACCTATTACAATATAGCCCAAAAGAAATTAGATCTTCCCACCCCCTGTTTAGCCAAGGTGTCAGCCATGGAATTAGTGCTCCTCTTGGCCCATTGAACCCTTA